TATTATATATTATAATCATACAGTTTCATACGATCATACATCTACATAGTGTATCATCATACATCCGTGTATTGTACTAGCACACCCCTTGTAAGCTGACAATTGACTCGCTCAGAGGCCTTACTATTATAATATTATCATATTTATATAAGAGTAATGATCTTGACCCTCTCATATTTATGTGTGTAGGACTCAAATGATCACCATTAAATTTGATACAGATCTCTAAAAAAAATTATCACATGGGTGTGAGACTTGACTTTTCTAAAAATACCAACTTTAATGGTGATCATTTGAGATCCTACACACATAAGTATGAAAAGTTCTCATAGGATAATTACTCTTTATATAATATTTCATAATTATAATATATTATAATATTATGTATTCATTTGGTGACAGATACGTTATTTTAAATGCAAACAGGATGTACGACAAACAAGATAAGACGTGGGCTCTCTCTCTCTCACTTAAAAGGCAAGATGTACACCAAAAAAAGATAATGGGGCCTATCATTCAAACTAAGGGAAAAGTTTATATAGAGCCGAGGTTCTAAATAATTATCTCAAAAATTTGATTAGAAGAGGTTGTTTTGATACCTAAATATCCTCAGTTTGAACATCTAGGCATTAAGGTGTATGGACATGATAACAAATAGGATTTCAAGGTTTAAAAATAATACATCTTGTAACACATTTTTGGACGGTCAATTTTCAAGTTTTTATAGATTTACTAGATCTACACCACTTTTGAAGCTTTAAAATTTATAATTAAAGATAAAAATATATTTTAAGGCTATCTCAAAGATTTCCAGCATCGAAACCGTATTTCTCGATACTATTTGAAAGTGTGCTTTACTTTGATTATTCAGAGGCTTGGCCCTATACAAACTACACACGGTGAAGAACTTGTAGGTATTCCACAAGGGAAAAATTGATATAAAATATGAGTTAAGTTTTCTACATCATTCATTTTAGTTGGATTCGTGTATATTTAATAAGTCTTTTAAGAGTGTCATTTTATCTATGCAATACCAACTAAAATGTAAGGCATAAAACACCGAAACCTTCTACGAGACTTAAAGCCTTCAATAAACAGCACCTCATGATTTTTTCAAAATATTTTTAGTTTAAAAGCAATTAACGCGTATTCAAAATAACAGATTTGACGTTCTAAAAAAACACATGATTTGAGTCCTACTGTATCTTACTTTCCATGTCTAATTACATTTTTATTTTTATTTTATTTTTAGCTAATTTTTACCACAATATAAAAACTAATTTCTCAAATTATTCTTAAAGAATTTTATTCATAATATCTAGTTATACTAACATTTCAATATTATAATATTTAAATTTTTATTTTTTGAATAATTAATGCCAAATTGAAATAAAAGATTTATAGGTTAGTTGGATACCTGAGAATGTTAGAAAGCTATTTGAATTTTTTTCTCCCCGATCAAACTGTCAAAAAGCAAAAAGTACAAAGCAAAAAAAAAAAGACAGAAGTATTATTTTTATTTTATTTTATAAATAACTGGACCATATAAAGCAAACTTCACTAGGAGCGCGACCTTCTCTCTCCTAGTACTGCTCCTGCTACTCTTATTGTTGTTGTTATTGTTTGTTAGTCATTATTGTTATTATTATTTTCATACTCATAATCTTATAATACATCATGATGCAATGAGTTGGTAAAGCATTTATTTATTTATTTATTTATTTATTTACTTTTTAATTTATGAATATCATAACATATATTATTCTGAATTGTACAAAATAACAATATCTGCCATCAAATAAATATGTATTTACCTTTCGAAAATGAAAGGAAAGCTGCTGCGTAAAGGTTATATATGATAGTAAATTTGAAATATTATTAAAATAAAAACAATATATGAAATATTATAAGAATAATAATATACTATAATTATATTATAATAATATCACTCATCGAATATTATTTATAACAACAAATTGTAATAAATATCATAGTAATATAATAATAATAATAACAAATAACAATAATGATAATAATAACGGATTTACATAACTTGAGTTCCATCAAGAAGCTGTACAAACACCTCTATCCCAATATCTTAGTATAACAAAAGCCTGGCATGAACATATTATGATTCTTTTTTTTTTCTTTGGTCTTTTTTGGCATGATCATTTTTTGGCGTTATGTGGTGTATCTCGAAACTGCTTGGAGGTTTGGACAAAACTCGAGGGTATCTACATGACGAAATCTCTAACGAACAAGTTATACTTGAAAAAGCAGTTGTATTCTCTTCAGATAGAACAAGATATAGATCAGCTTGAACATCTCAGCGACTTCACCAATTAGCAAGCCTTGAGGTCGAAATCGAGGATGAAGACAAGACCCTACTTCTATTGGCTTCGCTTCCAAGATCATACGATCACCTGGTTACGACTTTACTGTACTCTTGAGACGGACGAAGTCATTGCTACTCGTATGTCAAATGAGACAAGGAAGAAGACTAACAGTATTAAATCTCAAGGAAAAAGTTTCTTTGGAAAACACAAAAAGAATCATGAAATGAGCAGATTAAATTAAATGAGGTTTAGAAGCAGAAGTCGGTCAAAATCGAAGGGGAATGACAAGTTTATTTGCTATTACTACAAGAAAGAAGGTCATATGAAGAGAGACTGCCCGAAAAGAAAGGATGATATAAAGATGATAGAAATAAGAAAAACATCTGATGAAGCTAGCGTGACCGATAGCTCTAACGGAGATAATGGAGATCTTTTCTTTATATCTTCAGATAAGAATCAATTTACTGATTCTTAGATTTTAGATTCTGGTTATTTTTTTTCATATGTATCCAAATAGAAACTGGTTCGAAACCTACAAATCATATAGTAGTGGGTTTGTTCTAATGGGGAACGATGTGGTTTGCAAGACCATTGGAATAAGAACTATCAAAATCACGATCTTTGATGGGATAATACGAACATTATCGGATGTGAGGCATGTCCTACACTTAAAGAAAAACTTAATATCTCTGAGAGCTCTTGATTTGAATAGTTGTAAGTATACAACAACATGTGGAGTCCTCAAAGTTAGTGAGAGATTTATGGTTGTCATGAAAGGTCAGATAACTGGGAACCTATGCAGGTTGCTAGGGAATACAATTATAGGTGGAGATTCTATAACCACAGATATTGAGTCCAACACAGCTGACACAAATCTGTAGCATATGCGTTTAGGGCATATGAGTGACAAGGTATGATGGAACCTCATAAAAGAAAATTGCTGAAGGGTGTCAAAGCTTGTAAACTGGATTTCTATAAGTATTGTGTTTTCGGTAAACAGTGCAAGATTAGATTCAAAACTACAATTCATAAAAGCAAGGATATGCTAGACTATGTACACATTGATGTATAGTGGACTTCACCAATCAAATCCAAAGGTGGAGCAGAATACTTCATTATTTTCATTGACGATTACTCAAGAAAGGTCTGGGTCTACTTCATGAAACACTAAAGTGAAGCATTCACGAAGTTTAAACAATGGAAAGCAGAGGTAGAAAGAAATACAAGAAAGAAACTGAAATGCTTGAGATCAGATAATGGAGGGCAGTACATGTTTAAAGAATTTCAAGAATTCTGTAAAGAAGAGGGGATTGTACGTCACTTTACCACACTAGAAACTCCTCAACAAAATGGTGTGCCTGAGAGGATGAACATGATTCTTTTGGAAAGAGCGCGTAGTATGATATTGAATGCAGATTCGAAGAAAAGTTTTTGGGCAGAAGCAGTTAACATGGTATGTTTCATCGTTAACAGGTCACCATCTACAACAATTGATTGCAAAAATCTAGAGGAGATGTGGACAGGAAAGCCAGTAGATTACTCTATGCTGAGGATTTTCGAATATCCAGCCTATGTCCATGTGCAAAGTAGGAAACGTTCCAAATTACTCTAAGTTTAAGCAATGCACCTTTCTCAGTTTTGAGAATGAAGTAAAGGGAGTCAAGGTTTGGGATCCTACGTCACATAAGATTGTACTTAGCAGAGATGTTGTGTTTGATGAATCTCAGATGGTAAAGTCAATCAACATGCAAGATGATAAAGTGCAAGTAGATGAAAGTGATGAATAAAGATTGACAGTCCAGATGGAGCTAGAAGAGTCTGAAACACCAGAAGAGGAAAAATCATCTAGCAACATACCAGAACAGCAACAATCACATAGTGAACCCTACAGTTTGGTAAAAGACAGAAATAAGCGTGTTCACAAAGTCCCTGTGAGATACGACTTTGAAGACATGGTAGCCTTTGCTCTAACTGTTGGTACTGGGGGAATAAACTCATTCGAAAATGCTCCAAGTGATGCATAAAGTGATAAATAGATGATAGCCATGATGGAGGAGATGGAGTCTTTGAAAAAGAACAAGACTTGGGAGCTTGTCAAGAGGCCCAAGGAAAGGAAAGTGATTGGGTGCAAGTGGATCTTTCAGAAAAAAGAGGCAGCAACAAAAATGGAATGTGAGAGATTCAAGCCCAAGCTCATAGCAAAGGGCTACGTTCAGAAAGAGGGAGTGAACTACAATGAAATATTCTCTCTGGTTGTCATGCACACTTCAATAAGGCTATTGCTTGCTTTAGTAGCCATGTTTGATATGGAGCTAGAACAATTTGACGTGAAGACAATGTTTTTTCATGGTGATTTGGAGAAACAAATCTTTATGGAGCAATCTGAAGGCTTCAAGGTGCATGAAAAGGAAGATACAATTTACATGCTCAAGAGATTGCTTTATGATCTTAAACAATCTGCTAGGCAGTGATACAAGCGTTTCGACTATTTCATGGTGCGGATTGACTATTCAAGAAGTGAGTATGA